GATGAGGTCTTTCTGCATCAGTTGGCCAATCTTTCAAAAAGGCATGCAATAGTGCTAATGGGAGGTTCAGTTATCCTGACATCTGCTGGGGATTTGCCAACAAATTATTCTCTCTCCTGATAACAACTTCATTTGTCAGAAGGTGGAAGGAAGAACAAAGGGTTCTGCTGCCCTGAATCAACAGGGAAGAATTGGGTGAAGAAGTGAATGTGACTGCCACCCTGTGGGAAAATATTCACGTTATCCTCAAAGTTGTCACCTCAGATTGGAGGAGAAATTGAAGAGAGTCAGATCTGCATATTGGATATTAGAAGAGCAAATTCTGAAAACTCGGAGGGAAGCTATTTCAAATCCAGCGGCTTCAAATCCTGAAGGAGAAAAGTATCCAGGAAAAAGAAGACATTCTAAGAAATCAGATACTGAAGATGCCATTGCAAACAATTCCTCTAAGAAGAAAAAAAATGAGAAAAATATAATAAGGCCAATGTGGATACATGCAGAACTCTCTAAAAAATTTGGGAAAAAGGAGGGGAGGCATGCCTAGGAAATGGAAAAAGCATATCAAATAAAGAACACAAGATAATCTCCGAAGCCAGTAGAAATTTTGTAAAAAATGTTACAGCTCAGAATGAGCTGAGATTTGCAGGAGATGCCAAAGATAATAAAAAAAGAAATAATTTGAGTCTGTTAGAAATAATAAATCAAAGTGGAGAAGCTGCAATGGGGATGATGAAAAGCAAGAACTTCTTAACTGCTCTTCTGTGTCTGTCTTCTCTCAGAAAGGAGCCCTTGTAGCAGATACTTTGTACTATTGCTGTGACTACTTTTGGACCTTAATTTTAAGTGTCCCTATTGTACAATCTGTTTTTTAAAATACTGACCTGGGCCTCATTTTTTGTAACTCAGTCCTACATTTATGCTTAATGACAGTCCTTTTGGTGGTCAGAAAATCCACGATGCCCTGGTTTGGTTTGGTTTTGTTTTGTTTGTGAGTTCCTGTTTAGTGGATGCCTTTCTATAATCTGGGGCTGGCCAAGTTTCCTGACATTTCAATTAAATTTGCTAGAGAAGATTTATGTTTGTTTTTTCCTTTAATATCATTCAGCTACGAATAAATAAACATGAGGGCTGAAAATTATGGAGTTGTGATCCCCATATCTAAAAGGCATCTGCAACAGCTGGCGACCCCCAGGGGGAGGGCCTTCTCTGTGGGTGCCCCTGCCCTCTGGAACGAACTACCCCCCGAGATCCGGATGATTCCGGATCTCCTTACTTTCCGCCGCGCCCTCAAGACATGGCTTTTCCAACAAGCGGGCCTGGCGTAGGGAGGATTTTAAATTGGGTTTTTTAGAAAATTTTAATATCACAACTCTAAAATATTTGGTTTTAATTCGGTTTTATTAGGCGGGGATTGTGGGTATGTTTTGTTTTAAATATGTTGTGAGCCGCCCTGAGTCCCTGTGGGGAGAAGGGCGGGATATAAATCAAAATATAAATAAAAAAAATATCTGTAGCTCAGGTATAGGATGAGGGTGAAGGTTTGTTCTCCAGGCTTGTGGGTTGGTTTCCAAATGTTTCATTACCAGGCTAGGTAACGTCTTCAGTGACATTTAGGGGATATCTGCGTCAGTGCTATTCTATTTATAAGGGCTTCAGGTGTGGGTGTGTCAAGTGAGGGTCTTGTGATGAGTCATCAGAGAGAGGCTTGTGATGGATCTTGTGACGGGGAGGTTACTTCAAATATCTCCCTGGATAGAAGCAACAGTATGCCAGTCCTAGAATATCTAGCAGGCATTGTCTTCTTAATTTTATCTTGAACTTCCAAGATCATCATCCAGATGTCAAATATGAGCCTAAAAAGAACCTAGGCTGAAATAGGCCAATAACTCTAACAGTCCAAAAACGTTTTGATATTCGGCATTAATTTTTTAGCCAAGAAAGTATCTGCGGAGGGGGGGGTATAGATTCCCATATAGCAGCAGGGTACCAAAGCTAGGTGAGAATATGAGCTGGGCAATCTTTAAAAAAAACCTGTTATGCATTAACAAGAAACTATTCCACACAGGTAGCAGTTGATGCCATTAGTTATGATTAAATTTATTAGATAGCAGTACAACTGCATGCTAAGCAATTGAGAGCTAAGTCCAAGCAATCTATTTCATTACCTCCTCCCCTTCTCCTTTCCTGACAACCTGTATTTTTCATTACTTTTAGTTAAAAAGCAATGCTGATACTGTCCCCTGGCACTGCTTCATTAAAAAGCACAGGGCTACTAGATCTGGATTACTGATTGAAACTTATGAATAAACACACATCCACAGCCAATCATTCATGTCAATTGACGGGCTAAACTCTCGGATGCAGGTGAGAAGGAGCATGTGGCGTTTAGTGTCTGCAAATCCTGCCATCTTCGTCTCCAGGGAAGCTTCAGGCTTCCCATTAATCTTGCCTTAATGAGATGTTGTTACAGCAGCAAATGGAAAATTGCCACTGCTTCGTACTTCTGCTTAGTTGCCACCTCTTTTTGTTTGTGTATTTGTTTCTCAGCTGCTTGGGTTTTCAGGGAGGGGTAGTTTAGCCGACTCATAGCACAATCAAGGAACAATTCAGCTGATGAACAGCTAATGGAATATGAACATTGGCTTAAGGAACTTCCCCACACCAGCCATATTAAGACCACTATAAAGTAGCAACTTTCAAATCACCTCCTCTTCCTATTGTTGGCTGAAGTAGTTCACTGATGTGAAATTATCCCCAAATCACCTTTGCAATAATATCTGCAACGTTTTTCCAAACTGACTCCCTGAATAGGAGCCAGATTTTAAAGCGAGATCCATTTGATGGTTTAGTTTTGGGAAGTTATCTAGATCAGGGGTCCCCAACCCCAGGGCTGGACCATGGAAGCGGTAGCTGAGTGCACACGTGCAGCTCCACTTACGTGCACAGCAGGCGGGTGAGCGTCCGCAGATCCATTTGTGCAAGCAACATGCATGTGTGCCCACCTCTTGCACAAATGGAGTTGTGCACGTGCAGCCAGCACTCTCCCAGAACCATCCCCTCTCTTCCCCCTCCCCCCCTCGCTGGTCTGCAAAGCTGGAAAGGTTGAAGAGCGCGGATCTAGATTATTCCAATTTCTACAATGAGTTGTCTCTGTACATGTCCGCTAGATTACTTTAAACTAGTGATTTTTCAGCTGTGGTTCACAGAAATCTCCCAAGTGGCCCAGAGCCTTCCCACAGTTAGCTATCTAAAACCCTGCTCAGTCACTCAGCATTCCTGTTCCTGTTTACCCTTCCCATTCATCCCTTTGCCATTCAATTCCTTTGATGTCTTATAGCTTCTCCAGCGTGATGGCACACAACTTCCATTTCTAACAAGAGTTCACTTTCGGTGGAGTTTGCAGACTGCAGCCCTCAATCATGTATCATGCCTATCACTGCCTGGAGCTCATGAGTCAGTCTTGCTAACAGGAAGGCGAAGTAGGAGGCTGCAACTCTGCCCCACTGCCTGCTTTCTGCAAAGTAAAGGTCACAGTAGCTTTCTGTGCTTTACAGAATTATTTCTTATGTTCACTGAGTTCATTTTCCAGTTGCTTATCATGCTAAGTTACTGATTCACGAAAATGAATCATTGGTTAAAAACAGGTTCGCTTACGTGTATCATGTTAAGTTGAGTAGTAAAACTCATTAAACCGATCATAGTGAATGGGTCCTTAGTTCAAGACTATGGATCCATGTATAGCTTTGCAATGTGGAATTAGGATCTTTCATTGACAATTCACAAAGCAAGGTATGAATGGGGAACATAATCAACATCTAAAAAACATGGGATTTCATTGGGATGGAGAAACATTCACCTCTAGCTCTGTGCACTTTATGTTATGAAAATTTGCAAAGGATGCTGCTAACCAAAGGATTGCTGCTACTAGATGTCACAAAGTGCATAAAATATTCAAATGCATATTGAGAAATCCAGCTTTAAAAGTTAACTCCATGAACATGAAGAATTAGGATTACAGATAGTCCTCGACTTCATTCATTTAGCAACCGTTTGAAGTTACAACAGCACTGAAAAAAGGGACTTAAACAGTTGGACCTGATATACCAGTGATGGCGAACCTTTTAGAGACTGAGTGCCCAAACTGTAACCCCAAACCCACTTATGCATCGTCGAGTGCCGGGTGGGTGTGGCCCATTGGCTGGGTGTGGCCAATTGGGTGGGCATGGCCCACTGGGTGGGCGTGGCTGCGATGGTAACGGCAGACTGGGTGGGACTAAAAAGTTCAATCAATTTCAACTTTGCAAGATCTTTTTTTTCCCACGAGAAGTTGAAATTGACTGATTGAACCTTTTTTTTTTGCACACGGCGATGGAGGCCTAAAGTGAAAAGGTTTTATAAAACTTAGCTGAAGGCCTAGGACTGGGGTGACAGCGCGCGTGCCCACAGAGAGGGCTCTTGAGTGCCGCCTCTGGCACCCGTGCCATAGGTTCGCCACCACTGTGATATACTTAAGACCATCCTAGCATCCCCATGGTCACATCATCAAAATGAGAGTGCCTGGCAACCATCCTGTATTTATGTCAGTTGCAACATCCTGTGATTGCCACTTGCAACCTTCCCAGTTGGCTTTCAACAAGCAAAATCAATAGGGAAAGCTGGATTTGTTTAATGGCTGTGTGATTCTCTCAACAACTGCACTTATTCGTTTAACAGCCATGGCAAAAAAAAAAGGTTATAAAATCAGGCACAACTCACTTATCAAGCATATTGTTTAGCAACAGAAACTGTGACTGTAAGTTGAGGACTAACTGTATGGGAAACCAAAGCAGCTTTTTCTGAACTAAGGCTGAATTCATAAATAAACAATAAAGAGAGGCAGTTCTCTTCTTCATGTTTTCTTTTACATCAATTAGTGAAGGAAAACATGCAATATGAATGGATGGCTCTCCCCGTATATGAGTGCAGATACTAGGAAACATTACTCCACCCTCTTCAAGTACCCTATTCAATGTGTTGAGGGCTTGCTGGGCAGCAGCAAGGGCAGGTTCAGCTTGTGTCAAATCTTTCTCACAGTCCTTCTGTTTCTGCTGGACCTCCTCGGTAATCAAGGCCACCTTCTGCTCTTCCTCATCAGCAATAGCCTTCTCCTTACTGACTTTCTCTGTCTCTGTGCCCACCACCTGAATCAGCTGGTCGGCATCTTCATTCTTTTGCTTCAGCTCTACCTCCTGAGCTGCGAGTTTGGCTTTCAGGTCATCTACCTGGAGGAAAGATGAAGGAGAGCCATTCAGAAACCTTTACACACACACAAAGGACGCAAGGTCCAAATTAAAAAAAATATAGATCAGGGGTAGTCAACCTTGGCTCTTTTAGGACTCGTGGACTTCAATTCCCAGAATTCCTGAGCCAGCTTAGCTGGCTCAGGAATTCTGGGAGTTGAAGTCCACGAGTCCTAAAAGAGCCAAGGTTGACTACCCCTGAATTATAGATGCTTTCTAAAACCAACAGAAGCAAATACAATAATGCATTATAATACTATAAAGATAACTTATAAAATACGAAGGGATCTTAGTCCTTTAACAGATAAACAGGATTAGAAGAGTACTTTGTGATTTTTAAAAAAATGAAAATGTTTCTTAATACTAAATTGTCATATGTGTGTGTGTGTCTGTGTGTGTGTCTGTGTAAATGCATGTAAATCTTGTTAGAGTCAGTGACTGGTGAAATATAGCAGGGGGATAAAACCATAAAACAACCTAAAACACATTTTTTTAAAAAAAAACTGAATTGTCCATTAGTGAGGGCCTAACACTTAAAGGAATAGTTTCTAGCATAAAGTAATGGAGGTCAAAAATAATTTACAACTCCCCTAGAGATAGTATGGTTCCTGCCCAACAATAAGAAGCATCCTCCCAACTAGTGATACTACTATTAGTAAGAGGAGTTATAAGGATAGGATGCAAGTTGCTATAGAAAATATCTCTAAGAAATGCATGAGCTTAGAATTTCAGGTTCCTCCAGGGTGGATTTGCTCTGCAAAAGGGCTATTAATATACTTTCCCTCCAAGATTGCAAAGGGCAAGGCATTAAAATGACCTAAGAAAAAAAGGTTGTTAACGTGCTGGACAGGTAATATTGCATGGATAATTTGTGGTGTAAATGGTTACCTATTTATATATTGCCAGAGTTAGTGACCCAATTCGCCCTGCTCTACTTGGAAGGCTACGTCAAATGCCTGTTGCCGAGTAGCATCTATGGCTCTTGGAAATCTCTCAGCCATGAGAGCTGCACTTGAGAAGCCTCACTGGCATAAATTTTCCAGGAAGAGGAAAAATTTATCAAGTAGGCTGGTAGCACTCAGAGAGTCACTAAAAAAAAAATGAGATTTAAGCCAAAAATAAATCAGCATATGCCAGCCTTAGATTCCAGGGAGATCATTCTGGTTTTTAAACTTGAGTGCTACTGTTGGAGACAGCAACGTACTTGTAATAGTGCTCCTAGGAATCTGGACTAGGCAATGTCTAAGGGCTTTAAGTTATTCTAAGAAATAGAATTTATTTATTTTTTACTTTTTATTTATTTATTTTACTTATTTCTCGAATTTATATGGCCACCCATTTCATTCTGGGCAGCTTACAACAAAGCCTAGTACTAAAACCTACTACAAATCCATTAAAAACACGAGGGGTTCTTGGTGCTCTCTGAACTTTTGTTGTTGTTGTCTTGCAGACCTTCCATTACCCAAACTAGGAAATGTCATCAGCACAAATGAAGAAAGGAGGAAAACCACTGCAAAACAGTGCCCCCCACTCCCAATCCATGAAGTTGGTTCAGAAGAGTACCATGGTCAGTAGTATCATGACTGAGGGATCCAGGAGGACCAGGACAGGGACGCTTAGTCCTCCAGTCACACAAATGTGTCTAATGCCATCTCTGTTCTGTAACTCACAGAAAAAATGTAGAAAGGATGGGCTAGATGGAGAGAGGGAAGATATATCACCAAGGCAACAAACAGATAAATGTGCCTTAAGTCCATATGAAGGTAAAGATTTATGATAATGTCTTAAGATATACATCCCCTCCCACACACACAATTCACATGAAGATAAAAGGGGGAGGAGGGGAGGCACCTTCAGACTTGCAAGATTCTCTTACTACATAGCGGCCATGCCCATGATATACAGCTTTGCTGAACAGTTAATCTGTTCTCGAGTCTCCCCTTGTTCGATAGGAGGTATATTTATTCTTTGTTTGGAGGAATGGGATAAGCACTTCAATCAGCAAAACTATGTGGCGGCATTTCATTTATTTAAAGATCTTTGGATAATTGGAAAAAATAAACGAAGAAACACTTTTTCTTCCCATATTTCAGATACAGCTTATAACTTCAGACTGAATAATGTTGTGATAGCAAATGCGTATACGAATAGAAAGTTTATCGGGGGTTTTAAATATTCTGAGGAGGTATTGAGGTTTTGATTTGTAAGGCTCTACCAAATCCCCAGATCAGGTACACGAAAAGAGAGAATCTACAGTTGCAATCACCTCTCTCTCTTTGTAAGAAGAGATAGAATGTATAAAGAATAGAGAAAATCCTACTTTCAAAAGTTTCACAAAGCTGCAGAGCATACAGTAAGCTTTAACAATAAAAGGAGGAAGGCCAGCTATTAAAAAATACACAATTCTTCTATTAAGAATGGATGTAAGAAAAGGCACAGAGGAAAAGTATTGGTCTTATGGAGAGAAACTCTAGGGAAAACTTTTTCAGAACAAAGCAAACCCTGAAAATATTTATGCTCAAACAACATAGTACATGTCACAGTATGTGACAATACTTGTCCAATATTTTTTTCTTTTAAACAGATTATCCCGGTGGGGAGCAATTTGTGAGTGGAGACGTAGCAGGAACAGTGGCACTTCTATTTCCTGGCCTAACATTTTCCTCTTTCAATTCACTGAATAAAGCTGGGGTTTTTTTTACCCCCTTCGAAAGTTTCAAACATATATTTTGTCTCTGCAAGTGTGAACTGAAGGTAGATGACTGGGACTGAGAAATGGTGGGAGTGAATACGTAAGTGCCCTTCATCTACTGCTCCCAAGCATTACATCAAAATAATATCTCTTGTTTGGAAAGTATTATAAAAAAAAACAAAAATCCATTGGCTGATTTAACACACAAGTCATAATATGCCTTGTTTGGCACTTAATTGAGGCAAAAGCTGCCACCGTGATATATAAACCAAAGTTTATGGGGGGTATGAATTATGACTCCAAATAACAAACCTAAAAGTTTGGAACAAATTCTGCTATCAACCATATAAAAAGCCTACAAATTGGAGCACTTAATCTACAAGAAAGGGCCTATTGAGAAACATTCCTAGGACCGATTCTGCTTTGAGGAAGATTTGGACAAGTCTTCCTTTGGAGCAGTTGACTCCGTCTGATCAGCCCAATGGTTCTCTGAGGCAGAGCAATTCACTCCACTAAGACAGCAACACACAAGGTGTGCAGCATGTCATCAAGGGAGGCTGACTATAGACTGCTCAGGTTTAGGAAATAATAAGGAAAGTAGTAAGTAAAAGGCAGATGCTTGGCTTAGCTCGTGTTATGGTTTTATGTTAATCTGGTTAACAGCTCAACTTTGTCAGCACTGTTGATAAGTTGATTTTTCTCCAGGGTTTAACAACACCTGCACACACAAAGAGGCTAACTAGTAACCAAGGCAACACAAGCCAAATTAAAAAAGTGGGGGCAGAAATAACATACAAATCCAGAAACATTTCTTCTGCTAGCTCTGTCTCTATGTGCAGAATTGGGAGAACAGAAGCAAATCCTCTCAGTAGAGATGATCAGCAATAATCACCAAATTGTAACTAATTAATGTGTACGGTTTGCTTTGTTAGAGAAAGAGGAAGATCTGCCTGCTTTAAGTAACCTTTGAAGGAAAGGAGAAGAAAAAGCAGGCTGCACTTACGCAAGGCCTGAGCCTTGTGATTCCGTGTGTGTAGAAAGAAAACCCACACTCTAAATTAAGAGTTTGAAGGAGAACCCCAGCATGTCTTTTAAGTCCAATTGTCTGTGCCAAACGTTAGGATGTAATATACTACATCAGAAAGCTTGGCAGTTAATTGGTATAGCAGGAGAATGTGGCGTCTACAGTGCAATGGTTTTTTTTAAAAAGAAACGCAGCGCCAACAAGTTGCCACACATACAGAAAGACTAGTACAAGGCAACCTCTCTTCCACAGCAGGAAGCATGCTTAAAAATAAAGCGATTGGCCAAAGAGTTCTCTTTCCCAGCCTGTCTCATGTTCACAGGAGGAAGGAGGAATGAAACTTCAAAACGCTCTGGAAATAAGGAAATAGTTGCAACAAGGGAGAAGAAAAAGAAGGAAAGGTTATTCCCCCCAAAAAACCCTCAACTCCAGATTATTCTGACTGGCCAAAAGTTTTTCAAAGTTTTATTTAAAAAAAAATATTTTAGAATTAGAACAGCTAAGCAGCAAATTGAGTAGTGATTCAAAGTTGCAAATCAGAAGTTGGTTGCCTCCAAAATAAAGCAGTATCTCATTCAAAGGAGATTGTTCTCCAAAATTATGTTCAGCAAGAAACTAGAAAAGAATCAGACCAGGGAAGCTTAGTGGTGCTTTCGGATGAACTACAACTTATAAACTGCCCTGAAAGTGCAGTTGGGGAGAAAAATCTTCACTCCTTCCTTCATAATACAGCAGTCCTCTTCAAATTTAAACTAGGTTAATTCTTATTAACTTATCTATAAGAATATGAAAGCAACATTTGCAACAAATTATAGGGGTGCTTTTAAAGGCCATATAGATTTTATTTTGGAAGTGATTATCCTGAAGATCCACTTTGAGAAAAGACTGAAAGGTGATAGAGCTGGGGTCTCAGTTCACGCTCCTTATAGATTTTTGTTGGAGGTGTGTCTTTACAACACTCCCTTGATCAGAGGTTTCCATATACCAGGTCAGCAAGCAACTATCCATAATATAGAATTGGCTTGAGAACTTCTGGTTGTTCATGTTGGAGGCTTAAATCCAATGGTACTGACTTAAAATCTCATGACCTACTGAACAAAGGGAGACGTACTCTTTAGACAGACCCTTAAGAACTTACTCTGGGCAGATAGCAATAGCAATAGCATTTAGACTTATATACCACTTTATAAGCAGTCTTACAGAGTCAGCCTATTTCCCTTAACAATCTAGATCCTCATTTTACCGAGCTCAGAACGATGGAAGGCGGAGTCAACCTTGAACCTGGTGAGATTCGAACTGCCAAACTGCAGTCAGCCAGCAGTCAGCAGAAGTAGCTGCAGTACTGCATTCTAACCACTGCGCCACCACAAAAGATACTACTTTCTGCTTGGCCTTTCTGCGACATGACAAAAGATACCTACTTTTTGCTTGGCCTTTTTCCAATTTAAGCCACTCTTTGCTTCCTGAATGCAAGAGTGGACAACCTTTCCACTCCCAGCCTTCTGAAATGAATTCCAGCTTTGAACTGGAACTTTATTTTCTGACCTGAGCAGGCTTGAGACCTTCAGAGTAGATCATCTCTGCTGATTAGTTCTATTCTGGTGGCAGCCCCAGGTCCAACTGGTGCCCTGCCAATTGTTTGTTGGTTTTCAGTCTTGCAACGGATGCAATTACGGCCTCTTAAGTCCATTTTTGACCCTAGAAACTCATGCTACATTCAACCCTTTCAACTCCCAATAGGCACCCCACTGATTTCTGTTCAGCTGGATGAAGCTTGCTCCTCTTGCTTCCCCCCCCCCGCCCACAATACTGCAAAACTTTCCTTCCTTTTACTTTTAAAGTAAAAATAAGCTGAAATATTGCTACTGTATTCTTATACAATACAATAGCAATATAAGAATATTGCTACTTTTTTTCTACAGATCAGTGCTTCTTTCTACAACATTTTCACAGACATAAAAAAAGGAATGTGGGAAACAAAAGAGCAACCTGTTCCCCACCAATTATTGCGACACTGAAGCTGCAACATACCATAAGGAAAAAACCAAGGGCCTGCATTAGTATCAAAGGAGATCCTAAGAGAAGAGGTGTGTGTGTGTGTGTGTGTGTGTGTGTGTAAGCATTGCTAAGCAAATCACTGTAAGTCAAGTAATGTAAATAACAATCAAGTCAAACAAAATGCAGAGGCTATGTAAGATGCGTCAAACAAGCCAGTATCTTTTTTTTTTCCCCAGAGACAAAGCAGATCATAGTCCAACACATCTCCAGTTCCTGTTGAGCAGAATAAGGAAGCATCAGGACTGAAAATGGCAGGGAATAAAATGGCTTTCTAAATGTATTGCCCCTCCAATCAAAAAGATTTCCTGCTTATTAACATCTCACTACAACTCATGTGACAGTGCCATGAAATCCAACAAAAGTCCATGCAGCCGAACGCAAGTAGCTCTCCAAGAGCATTGCATAGATAATTCTTTATACTTCATTTCAGAACGTTTGCATACGTCTCCAGCCTTCCAGCTAAAACAGGAGCTTTCTCACCTGGGCTGATGTGCTACGGAGCTTCTGTAGACCATTTTCTAATCGCTCCATCTTTGCTGTTAGTTCGTTTCTCTTTTTAAGCAGCAAATTTTGGTACAGTTTGATTTGCTCCAAGAACGACTTGGGGGTGGTGTAATTATAACGACGTTCGTTAGTCAGGTAAGAATAAGACATCTCATTGACACTGGTATGAACGTAAGCCATGAACTTGCTGATAGATTCTTTCACAGGAGGCTTGTTCATGATGAGGATAATCAAGAGGATAATGACAATGACAACAAGAACAACGTTAAAAGAGAAACTATTCCAAAGTCAGTAACAAAGCAGTTTGACTAAGTTTCACGGATACATCTTACATAAAGCACCGGTTACCAAATTGAAAAACATAACATTCTAGGACCGTGGTGGTGAACCTATGGCACACGTGCCACAGGTGGCACGCAGAGCCCTCTCTGTTGGCACTTGCACCGTCGCCCCAGTCCTAGGCCTTCAGCTGCATTTTATAAAACCTTTTCGCTTTAGGCTTCCGCTGCCGTGTACAAAAAAAAAGGTTCAATCAATCAATCAATCAATTTCAACTTCTCACAGGAAAATAAAGATCTCGCAAAGTTGGGATTGAATTTTTTAGTCCCACCCAGTCTGCCGTTACCACTGCAGCCACGCTCACCCAATGGGCCACACCCACCCAATAGGTCACGCCCACCCATCACCCGATGATACATAAGTGGGTTTTGGGTTGCAGTTTGGGCACTCGGTCTCTAAAAGGTTCGCCATCACTGTTNTCTAGGAAATACATGAAACTCCTCATCAAGAATTTCCTGATTTTGATATGATATGTGAAACCCAATTAGTTTGCATTGTATTATTTGTAACTTCAAAAATATCAATTTTATGCATTTAGTGTTGTAGTCCAATTAGCACCCCAATTGAGTTCCTTTACATTGCCCTTCCTCCTTTAATTGTTGTTCCCCAAACAGCAAACCTGTGATTCAGGGTGGAAGTGAAAGACCAGACCAAAGTCACCCAGAGGGCTTCCATAGTTGAGGTGGGACTTGAACCTTGGTCTCCACAGTCCTAGTCCAACAGCTGAACCACTACATCACACGGCTGGAAAACATCTGCATATAAGTACACGCTACTTGTGTAAAGATGGGGTGAGGTAGCTTTTTCTCTTTGTCTGCAGCCATAAGGTGCCCAGAAGCACCAGACCTGCCTTACAAAATAAACAGCTGTTCAACCTTGCAGTTGAGATAAAGTGTTTGACATGCTCCTAATATTCACTTACCTCAATGCCCCCTGTCCCTTGCAAGAAGCGCAGGCTGACTGACTCCAGAGCTTCCTGAGGCCACTCGTGGAACCAGTCGATCGCCGTGCAGTTCACAATGGCTGGGAACTTCCGGCTACGAACTCTCAGTTTGTTCCCCACTGGAGAAAAGCAAAGTGCCACCTGAGGAAAGTAGAACAAGCACGGAGGAAAATAATGCGAACAGGATTAGGAAGGAGGAAGGGCTTCGCTTTGTGACTTTCAAAACTTTCAAGCTAGTCTGAGGTTTCCAAAGATGCATGGCTCAAAACTGTTGAAAGGAAAGCATTTGAGCAACAAAGATGATTAGGGGACTGGAGGCTAAAATATATAAGGAACGGTTGCTGGAATTGGGTATGTCTAGTTTAACGAAGAGAAGGACGAGGGGGGACATGATAGCAGTGTTCCAATATCTCAGGTGCTGCTACAAAGAAGAGGGAGTCAAGCTATTTTCCAAAGCGCCTGAAGGCAGGACAAGAAGCAACGGATGGAAACTAATCAAGGAGCAAAGCAACCTAGAATTAAGGAAAAACTTCCTGACAGTTAGAACAATTAACCAGTGGAACAACCTGCCTCCAGAAGCGGTGAATGCTCCAACACTGGAAATTTTTAAGAAGAGACTGGACAGCCATTTGTCTGAAATGGTATAGGGTTTCCTGCCTGAGCAGGGGGTTGGACTAGAAGACCTCCAAGGTCCCTTCCAACATCATCATCATCATCATCATCATCATCATCATCATCATCATCATCATCATCATCATCATCATCATCATCATCACTAATATTACTATTATTACTATTATTACTATTATTATTATTATTGTTGTTGTTGTTGTTGTTGTTATTTTCTTGAGATTGAGAATATTCCTTGAGTGATTATTAGTGAAGCAGGGTGTTACAACTATAACAGAAAAGTGATTTTTTTTTTAAGGACACACAAAAAATAGAGATAGACAAAGCTTAGGACCTAACTAACTACATCCCACCACCAGGAAGAAAGTCAAAGAACAAAGCTCCATGCTTCCATATTTGGGGACCAAGGCAGAGAGAAGCAATACTAGGACTAGTTTCTTATAGATAAACAATGGTACACAAAGTGGGAACACAAAAAATTCCCTCATTATCTACACTGTTCTTGCGGATTGCTCTTTAGTCATGGTCCCGCAGCAGTTAGAATGCCGTATTGCAGGTTAATTTTGCCCACTGCCAGGAGTTTGATCCTGACCAGCTGAAGGTTGGCTCAGCCTTCCATCTTTCCAAGTCAGTAAAATGAGGACCCAGATTGTAAATTCCCTAAAGAGTGTTGTAAAGCACTGTGAAGAGGAATATAAGTGAAAGTGCTATTGCTATAGTCAGAAACTTGTGCAGAACAGTAGGTGTCACTGAAGTCACTTTTCCAGCAAAAAGAGCAACCCAGAAACAGTAAGGCACAGCACCTCAGCCTAGTCTCTATTATTTTTCTTGCATAAAAGTGTGATTATTATTCTTATGTTATCCAGGATATAGATATCTCTCTTCCCCCATTTGCAGTATTTAAACAGCAACACTTCATCGATTGCAGATAAATTGTATAAAGATCATCTTCAGAAACATCATGCAACAAAAAAGAGCAGGTCCTACCTTGAGTTGTCGTCTAACCCGATCAATGAAGAATTTCCAACAAGCCTCCCTCGTGTCCATCAGGCCATGAGTTTTTACTTCATTCCTCATATTACTTATGATATTTTCTACTTCTTCATCAGGAAAAAGATCAGGAATTTCTCCTAGAAACACAGGATAACATGTGATTCATCACAAAATTCCATACCTGCAGCATTCCCTATCTTGCTGGAGACAAAGGAAAAGACAATTGAGAGAAGTAACAAATTCATTTATTTTATTTCCAAGGGCTCTGGTTCTGTAATAAGTGAAGAAATATAAGGGAAGATAAAATGAAGGAATTAAGAAATTAAAAAATGATACATCTTTAGCACACAATGGGAAAATTGCAGAAGAATTATTTATCATTCCTGGCCTCTAGCTACAGTAACCTGCCTTATAACCAAGGCAGAAACAGTGAAAAAACAATATTGTTCAGTAACAGCTACCACTGTATTTATGTGGTTGATGGGCATCTTTCAGCCTAGAAGTTGTACTATAACTGCTTTGCTAATAATGTATCACAGATTTCCCTTTCCCGAGTCCCTTTTCTGCACTTGTGACTGGGACAACATCCTGCAATGTTGGCTGGGACTCTTTTTGGCCTGTGGACTCCAATGAAGTAAATAGGTGCTACCTAGTAGGTTTTCTGCCTTCTATGACTGCTCTACCTGGCTCCTTCAGGAGGCATAGATAAGAATGTGTCTTGTTGGGTCTGGGAGACAGACCTCTCCTCGAGGCCCTCCCTATCAATTATGACAACTATCATCTGGTATTCAACTTTCCCTTTCTTGAGATGGTGGTATAGAACTATAGATGATACCGTAGTAGCTTGGTAGTTGCAAAGCCCCCTGGAAGAAATGGATTAACTGGATCCTTTTCTGTCAATATTAAGGCTTAAATATGGAACAGAAACATTACTCACAGAAATTACTTTTCTCAGCACTTAAATCAGTGGTTCTCAACCTTTTTAATGCCGTGACCCCCAACCGGTCGTAAGTCGAGGACTAAACCGGTCGTAAGTCAAGGACTAAACCGGTCGTAAGTTGAGGACTAAACCGGTCATAAATCAAGGACTACCCAACCAGTCGTAAGTCGAGGACTTTCCCAGCCCGGGAGCGCCGCGCATGCGTGGTTCCGCCCTTTGCGCCGGCCAAGGCATAGCTGGCAAGCGGCAGAGACGGAGCAGGCCGACCACCAGCTGGCCCAGCTCAAGGGAGGTAAGGCACCCGCCAGAAAAGGGGGAAAAAATGGCAGATAGCCTTGCTTGGCGACCTCTGTGAAATGGTCGATCGACCCCAAATGGGGTCGCGACCCATAGGTTGAGAACCGCTGACTTAAATGGAGGTAGTGTGTGCTTCCACCCCTCCTGAATCTCTCAATGGCATTTGATATAATCCTGCTTACAAGGATTGGAGACTGGGGAAAAATTTCAATGGCTCTATTCCTTTCTCAGTGAGTAGACTGAGTTAGTGGCTACAGGAGAAGAGAATTCAGTCTGGTGGCCTTTCATATGTGGAATCTGTATTATAGAACAGCATCCCTTCAGATATCAGACTCAGCCCTAATTATATGGCCTTCCAGAAAGCATTAAACACTGAATTATTCCAGATGGTCTTTGGAGGCTGACTGTTGTCTTATTTTTTTTCACTATACTCCTGTTATAGATGTGGTGATATAGGTATTATGATTTGTGTTGTCATTGATTGATATTTGTTAGCTTATTGTCACAGATGGCTTAATGTTGATGCCTATTGTTTTAGATCTCATGATGGATGTTTTGTTGTTTTGTTGTTTAGATGTAGAAGTTTTCAATTTTGTTACATGTCTCTAAATGGTAGCCTATAAACATACAGTTAAAAATTAAGAAATAAAGAATTGTTTCACTTTAGTTAAACCCTGCCCCTCATTTTGGCCCCACATTTGAAGAAGAATTCAAACAAACTGGAATTGGTTTAAAGAAGCACAATGCTTAGAAATTAAGTTTTATGAAGAGAGACTGAAGTAGCTGTGAACGTTTAGCCTTTACAAGAGAACAGCGAACAAATATATGGTATCACTTTCAAATATATGAAAAGCTGTCATGTGGAAGATCAGGAACTATACTTTATTGCACTGTAGGATAATGGATTTAAATTACAGCAAGGCAGATTCCAGATTTTTGAAGAGGAGCTTGATATTAGAACTTATTACCAGAGAGGCAGATATTCAAGCAAGTCTAGCCACCTACTTTTCTATGGTGCTTTAATTTGGATTCTGCACTGACCAGGAAGTTGGAACTGATACTCTAAATGGGTTGCCTCAAATTTAGAATTCTAAGCAGAAATGTTTACATGCATATAAATAGAGCAAGGTTGATGGAAACTGCTACATGGGAAATAACGGTGCTGGAAGTTACATGTAAATTCGTTGTATACATCTGCTAGTTTCGTGGTATAGTTACACACGATGCTGTGCCCTATCCTTAATTATATCCTCAGTATAATATCTGGGGCATACAACGTGCTAATGCAAAGGCCAGGTTCCCACAACATGCTGAGCCACAACCCAACCAACCCCATTTCAGTCTAGCCAGTATGTTGTGTGAACTCAGACATTCTGGGGCAAGTTTTTCACAACGCTAGTTTCCTTTTTCCTACAAATGAAATTGAAATTGCTATGAGTACATACCTGAAGCTAGCAAGTCATTTACCAGAACTAAGAATCTCTCCTCAGCCAGCTGAGTATCAGTCAGAAGGAAGACAGTGCCCACATTCTTCATTCCTGCTGTAATATATTGTGCTGCTAAGTCAGCCTGTAAGTACATGAATATTTCAGACTCCAATTTTTAGACAGCAGCTGTAAGAGGAGACTCAAGTCATCTTGGATACTATTACATTCAAAATTCATTGATTTCTTAGAGTCAAGATCACACCTTTAAAATCACACTACTGATCATGGGGTTCATTGCTATACACATAACAATTTGAAGGAAATACATAAACGCAGTCTCTACTGTAACTGCCATTAAAGAATCTGTATAAAGTCCTTTTCATTTAGGAGACCAATCCCTACTATTGTAATGGAAACTTTTTCTCTCTTGGAACATTCATATGTTTTTAAACACATCTTCATAACCTTGGTTTTTAATAAAAAAAGGTGCTAAATTCAAATTTCCTCACTATTTGTTGTGCTATCAATCTGGGGTGAACTTAGAGCAGAATCAGGTATTCTGAATTAAGCATTCAAGAAGGTTATCACCACCATGGTCCTAGATCACCTCAGAAAACAAAGGGGAAGAGATACTCTCCTATGAAAATATCCTTCCTGGGAAAGTTACAGCTGAGCATTATTGCTCAACATGTTTAGTTTACAGATTCTGACCCAGAATAACTTTCAAGTAAACCATCCCTACATGAATTCTGAGGTAACATAGTTATATATATTCCTGGATGGGAGAGGGGGAGGAGGAGGAGAATCCACATTTTTGACTAATGTTCTTTCAAAATTGAAGTCCTAACTAGGAAACTAGGAATTATTAAAGTAGTGTTAAGATGTAAGAGCAGGGTGCTTTTTTTTGTAAATCTGCAGTTGATATAGTGAAAATATTTACTTCCTGTTAAAATATATGTGCTTGTAATGCTGCCTAATGCACCAATAACTATAGGGATGACTTTGCAAGGTCTTTTCCATAATCTATTTTGATTATTCACTCTCTAGTGCCACTAGTGAACAATCTAGTGAAGAATTGTAACTTTTTCCAATTCTTTTTACTCAGTTCTGTTTGTCCCTGGGTACTGCCACATCCACAAAAATTACTCTTTTTTCCCGATTATTCTTATATCTGCTGTGTTGTATTCCAGGTGGCAAGCAGTTGTTATACGTAAATGACGTAAAATGTTAATCTCATCATTTTCAACCACTGTTTCAGTGTTGTGATTATACCACTTTCTGAAAACTCAGAAATTATAATTTTTCTACAAATACCAATGCATTATAGTGACTGCTCTATCATGGCATTCATCATAGCAAGTCCAAGAAATTTTGTTTATGATTATGGTTATAATTATGTGACAGTATTTATCAATTTAACATTTACATGAAGTCACAGGGACAGATCATCCATCAATTCTTGATTAGGCATTATCAGTTTGGTAATAGTACTCAGCTATGCATCTCCTCCCTGGAATTGGCTGAACTACATGGTTGACCTCATGTCCTAGTAGCTGGAAGCAATGAAAGTATGGGAGGTGTAGGAACAAGCTCAGACTCACTTTTAGCAAGACTGAATGGTTATGTGTGTTTAAGCCTCCTAGTACTGAGGACCTTCTATCTTTGACCCTGATTGGGCATGTACTTCCCCATTTGGGTCTATTGAACAATCTGGGATTGCTCCTGGAATTGGGGTCCTGCTTGAAAGTAGTAGGTAAGAAGTATAGATAGGAGGTCTTTTGCACAGATTCATCTTGTGTGCCATTGTATCTTTTTTGAACAAAGAGGCCCTTCTCACAGTGGCACATGTCTTGGTCAACTCACAGTTGGACTAATGCAATGCATTCTACATGGAGCTGCCTGTGAAATCTATTTAGAAGCTACCTTTTGTATAGAATGTAGTGGCACAACCAGCGATAGGTCAATAACACCTTGCTCAGGTAATGCCCAAACTCTGTGAATGCACTCGTTTCAGTTGGCTTTCAGGTATAATTCAAAGAACTATTTGCCACAATTGAAACCCTACTAGCCTAGAGGCTATGGTTAGGCTCTTCTTAGTTATAAGCCTCTCACCTTCAAATCAGGAATCCCATAGCCTTTCCTCAAGGTGATTTGGAAAATTTCCAGAGAGCTAATGAAAGCTGCCAATCTTGTCAGGCTTTGCTTGCCACTTCCACCAACACCCACCAGCAGAGCATTCCCTCTGGGAGATTCCAAGATACGGTTGATTCGGCAACTGAACAAAAAGATACACAATCATTTCACATCTAACTTTTCTTCTGAGGAATAAATATCAATATATGACACATGGACTAATCTGTTAGATTCAAACCTTGCAAAATCTTAAGTCATTATGTGTTTTGATTAGCACAGAGGAGTACAGAGATAATCTTGAACAAGAGAAGCAAAAAATCATAAGCAATCTTCAACTTAGTCCTTGGAAAGAAGATGGGATAAGAAAGAAATTCAAGATAACACTGTCCTCATCCTGTTTGATATAAGAGGGGGTGGAGGAAACCTCTGACAGGCTTTTAAGATTCTGCTTATTATATCTTACAACAATAAAGTTCCTATAATCCTTGCAGGATCTGACTTCCGACCTGGCCTCCTGAAGGGCTGTCAATAGAAAATCTCATTATCAGTTCCAATTGGGTAGTTTTGTGAGTTTTGACTTCTTCTTTTTTCCCCAAACTAATTATTAATGCCCATTTTAGCCACATCAATTAACTTTTGCCATGTCTCTGACATAAACCAACCTAATTATGTTAATTTGAGTCTCCTTAAAATACCATTTAAATTTACATGTCTGCTAGATCTTGTCAAAAGAGTTTCAGTTAGCCAAATGTTTTTAGCTTATGTGCCTAAAATATACTGCAGATATCATTCTTGACTCAGAAGCCTGCTTGTTTGTTTTCTTATGATTAGGAGGATATTTCTTAATGGGTAAAGTCCTGACTTGGGAGCCAAGAAAGCAGAATGAGAGAGTAACTTCCTGAGAGATGGCAATTACCAATTAATTCTCATTTTGTCCTTGTGTCAGGAATTCACAGCTGCTATGAAGGTTCTGAGGGGGGGGGGTCCCTTTATTTGGCCTGCTGGCCACCATGTGGCATCTTTATTTATCACAATTATTTCAAATTGTTGCTTTGTCATCCTGGAGAGTGATTGCACTTACCATAACCCCACCTTTCAGAAAGAGGCTCATCTGGTTGGCTTATCTGATTCATATACAGTTAATGTAGCAATGCCTACCTTGGCATTTTTTTCCAGACAAAGTATCTATTCAATAGCTGGAAAATAGCCTGGGTTCAGTGAACAAACTTCTGAATTCAGTATGGTTACTCATTTCCATTCATGAATTAGACAACTTCCCTTTTCTGATTCTTACCAGAGTTTTAAAAAGCTATGAATAATCTACAAGTTTGTTATCAGTATTGTGACAAAGATGTTCACTTAAATTAGGAAACAGAGGGGTTAGAGATAAATGCAAGAAAGAATCTTTTAGTGGCATGCACAACAGTAGTGCTTGCTAGGCTCCTTGCTAAAGAATTGCAGAAGAGCCTGGACAGAGAAAGGTTACAGGTATGTACTTTTGGTTTGTTACATAGGAATGATAAAGAAAATATTTTCAATGACAATAAGACCTCTAAACTGGAATGCCTCTCACAATACACTGGGGATGGCTTTACTATAAGCACCCCTGCATTCCTGAATAGTATCTGAATTCCATTCATCTCAGATGCTATTATTAAGTTTCATAAACAATGACACTTATTGTCCCCATGTATTGACCCTTTCACACCATGCTTTTCATGTTGTTAGAAAGGACAAGAATCTGAGATTCATGATCCATCTCCATTCCAGGGTCACAGATCCAGCCTCCTGCTTTTATTTATGACTTTATTTCGGGAATGATTCTATTCTTTCTGAAGCCCTCTCTACTCGCTGAATTAAATTGAATCAAATGATTAATCACTGGAACTTAACAGTGCATTCTGGCTGGCAACATATTGTTCTTTCTGTTGCCCACACATACTTCTTGAGAAGACTGGGGCAGGGAGAGGAAAGGTATGAAAGGTACTTGCTCCAACCTCTGTTTCCCCATATTGAATGGAAAGGTTGAAGACCGTTTCTAATTAACCGAGTTGCAGTATCTATGAGAATGGGAACCTGGTTACAGTTTTCAGTGCATGGAAATCTTAAGTGGATGCAGCCCACAGATGACACAGAAATGTCAGAGTGAAATTTCCTATCTTTTCCCCCTGATGCCCTCATAATGTGCATACACATGCACGCACACACATACACACATATACACACACACGTGTACATGTGTAATAATACACATGTATAATAATTATTATACATATACACAAGCAAATTATCTCTTTCATCCCTGCCATTCTTGTGATACATAATATCACAATATCTGACTACCTACATTCCAAGGAATTGTTCTTGAGCAATTCTGATAAAATCCAGTAATTATTAAGGATGAGGACATACAGGGCAATCTTTTGCTGATTGGCAAAGATGGATGTCAACTTCTGAGCCAATGATTCAAGGATTAAGAAATCTACTATATCGGACTTCCGGTGGCAGGCGACCTCGTCGGATGCAGCTGTTTGCTGCCTCCCGCCTGTTTCAGCGTAAAAGCCGTTCTGACAGCCAGCATCAGCTGTCAAACGGCTTGTACCCTTCCCCTGGGCATAAGGGGATAGGTGAGCTGCCCGGGGTAGGAGTTGAGTTCCCGAGT